CTTGCAATTTCCCCTAGCCTGGGGGTGGTGCAAGTTCCAGAAGCGCCATAAGGACAAGGACGGTGCAGCCTAGAAAGTGGCAGATCTTGAGATGCGAGATTTGGGGTTGGCAATCTCCGCCTTGACAAAATGTGTTCCCCCTTTGGGTGTGTCCTTCATTTCCACTCGAAGTCAATCAGAAACATAAGATTAGGGCAGAACGTTGAGCTAAACAGACAGCTTGACACCGTTCCAAAATATACGCGTGATGAGTTTATCTCAACATCGCATGAAACGCGATTGTATTTGTCTGCTCAGACGGTCTCTAAGGTCAACGTTGTTTCCCCAAGAGTTTGCACCACCAGTAACAGATTCAGCGAAACAACACGCATGTATCGAACTGGCTCACACATGCCCCCATCACTCAAACGCCTTCCGCAGGAAGCTTGGATTTTTTGCGAGCAATGCAAAGTATGGGTCGCCTGTTTGCAGAGTGTCTTTTTTCAAGCTGCAAGTTTTGGGGTATGTTCCCTGGGTTCCGTGTGACCTGGCAGTGTCCATGTAGGTCCCTTTTTGATCCTGATTTGGCCAAACACACTGGACTGGGGTTCTTGTTTCAATGATTTTTCTAGTTTGATCAGGTTTAACTCGGACCAGGTTGGTTCCGAGCAGAACATCCAGATGATCTCATCCACTCATCCGGATGACCTGAGGTGACGGACTTTAACCATCTTTCAGTTGGTGAATAGATCATCCTTGTACAAATTGGGTGAAAGATGGTGAAACGCCAATCGCCTCATCACCTGAGGAATGATAAAAGATGCCAGGGGTTGGCACAGGTACATCATGGTACATCGAATCAACCTATATGCGCCATATGCTTCTTCAGCAAGATTCCCACCTTTGGCAAAGGACAGTCAATTTCGACCATCCCTCACCCAGTCACCCAGTCCTTCTTCGCTACTCACCTGTGTTTTTTTGAACGGAGGTGGCTGTGTGCCACTGGGATGGAGACTGGCGACATTGGCTCAGCCGCTTGGAACTCAAAGAGTTGTGAGCTGGGGGGCAGGTGAAGTCTTTGTCACCAAAAAAACCGCCAAGACTAAGGAGTTCAAAACTCTTGCCCCCAAACAATTGAAGTCTTTGGTTAAACCAAGTCGTTTTTGCAGTTTGTGTCCTGCTCTGCTTGGAGTATCCGATTTGTTCAGCCTCTTGTTGGGGACGGGGTCGTATCAGTGAGGCGGTCCAGACGTCGAGACTTGGATCGGCTGCTGGTTGGATCCTTCCCTCAGTTGATGAGGGTTCCCACATGGGATTTATCATTTCAATGCTGGAACACCAGTGAAAGAAGAAGATGTGTCCATGAAATACATGATTGCAAGAGATTGCAAGATATTGCAAGTGAAAAAGAGACCTAGTAGGTTGGAGGTCAGCCCTAGTAGGTTGGAGGCCATCGCTAGTAGGTTGGAGGCCATCGCTATTAAGGTTTTGCAAGTGAAAAAGAGACCTCAATCCAAAAAAGAGCCACGCGGCCACGTCGCCTGGTGGTTTGTCATGGTGTGTCCATCTCGAGCCACTCTGAACGGCCTTTTTATCGGAAGCGCGCCGATCGATGGGCACGGGGAATCCAGCCGGGGCGAGAAGATGTTAAGGTAAACTAACCAGAGGGCCCCTCCTTGGTTCCAATGTTGCTTTTGCGAGTTGGTCTTATTGCGTGATCTGAGTGACAGAGACATGATTCGAACCTTTCGGTGTTATTTCCAGAGAGCTGCATTTCTTTGAGTGGTTCTGGATGGTTTGGAAAGATGCACATCAACCGAATCCTTGAAGAAGGCCCTTTCAAAAAACCTCACCTTCTCAACCAGTTCTGAGAGCAGCCTCTGGCAGCCCTGACTTTTCGTCCAAGGCAACGAGCCCAACGCATTCGGCGCCTGTGAGCACTTCCAAGCGTCGGAGCGTGAGAAGATGCCGCTGGGCACCGGGAAGTGCACAGATGTCCGTTTCGAGTTTCGGGTGAAGAGATTCTGAGGCCGACCTGGTCGGCTTTGGACGTTTTTTCGATCAAAGACACGGCATGACCAATGGCCGCTGCGTGTTTCAAAGAACTCAATGTCCTTTGAGTCTTCTTGATTGATTTCGGAAGCAGGAGTGAAATGATCAGGAACCTCCAGCAGACCTTAGGGGACATGTTGTTAACCTTCCGTCTCACCACACAGTAGACAAGCATCCAGATGCATCCGGTTCCAGTCACTCTCTATTTTTGTGGCGGAGTAACTTGGAGCAAAGTTTGAAGAAGTTACACCACCATGTCAAGAGACGTTGCTTTTCAATTAGTGGGAACTTGGTTTCGGGTGGTCTTGTGTGTTCTTGGTGAGCAACTCGTTGGTGAACATGTTGAGGCCTTAAAGGGTCCGTACAGCGATCCGCAAGGTTTCAATGCTCCCAGTTCAGTCAGACTGGTTTGGGGTCGTGTCAAGGTCTGAATCGAGTGAACGGGTCCACTGTGCTGTAAATCAAGGGTATATATACATTCTCAATTGAAGAAGAGGATACGGCGATGTCGCTTTTCATGCCCGTTCTGTACGGTACAGAGTGATTGGGAGGAGATTCCACGGGTCAAAACTTTGAATGAAAGAATCAAGGCTTTGGACTGAGAGGGCAGCCTTCCCGGTGGAAGGTGATCGGGTGTTTTGGTTAGACAGGATGCAGATGAGCCCAACCTCCAAGCATGAGGAAAGTCACCCTGATTCCACCTTGCTGATTTGGTTACCGGTCGTAACTTCACCTTTGGGAAAACAACAAGGTACATACTGGTATACTTCTAAATTACAATGTCGCACCCAATTGCACCTTACGCAGGCGCCCCGCCCAGGTCATCTTTGCTGCTGCAGCGGTCGCAACAGTGAGCGATCTGAGCTGCCCAGAGATCTCCAAAGCCTTTGTGGTCCGTACGCCTGCGCCTGCGCGGCGCACGCCGGCGCACGGGCCGCCGCCCACAGCGGTGCGACCGCTTCGTGGCTTGTTTTTTTCCCGAACGAAAAGGAGGTCGCTCCGTGCAGCATGCGCCACATCGCATTGCGTTAGACCATAAGGACTTGTACTGCAAAAAGTTAACATTTGGCTTGGAGATGGGTTGAAAAAGATGAAACAGGTTTGCCAGGCTCACCGCCTTTCAGGTGTTTTCATTCACTCAACGATCGAGTCTAGTCCAGATGGTTTTTTGGTGATTAAGGGATTTGCATTTTGTCCAGGTTGAATCTTCTCTCTATGGCTTCAGCTTCGAACAATCACCTCTCAGCATCCCCCCAGCTTTGGTATGGCAACTTCCAGCAAATCCTGCCATCCAAAACAGAACCAATCCTTAAGGGTCGACCTATCTAGGACCTCTAGGATTTAGCTTGATTGCCAACCTGTAAATTGAGGAAACCATGCATTTCGACCAACACCCAGATGCATCCTACAGCACGAGCTTCATCTCATTCTATATATCCTTTTTTTTGTGGCGACCCACATCCCATCCACTCTGTCCACCCTTCGGTGCGCCGAAAGGGCACAAACACCAGCAGCTTCATGGGCGCCGCAAGCAGTAGCTTCGACGTGGAGCTCCAGCAGGCCGCGCTGGCCGAGGCGGAGCTGGCGGTGGACGCCCGCAAGGCGGGCTCGCGACGGTGAAGTCGAGAGAAGAGGAGGAGCACAGCGGCCCGGCTGGTGAGCAAAGTGCTTCAGGGGTTGAAGGTTTGACTGGTGTTCTCATGTGTTCTCCCATTGGTCAAAGAAATTGGAAGGCTTCCAGCTTGAAAAGAATAACTTGCAGAAACCTCATGTTTTCAGAGCCTTTCCTTGGTTTTTTCGGGCGGAGGGCTTGGGAGGGATTCTATTGAGGAGATTGAGGCACATTCTGAATGTCCTTCAAAGGTGTGTCCAACGGCAACTCCAAACTGTTGAAGTTACCCGCCGACCACTGCACCTCCAGATGATTTGGAGCTGAACTCTTCAGGAACTCTCGAATGGAGAAACCGACACAGATGGAGGATATCTCACTGTTGACCTTGGTTTCAGTGTGGGAATCCAACAGACCAATTACAGATTTTTGATGAGCGCTACGAGCGAGAATCCCTGGAGGAGCCCAGATCAAGTGTGTAGAGCTGCGTCGCATATACCTTCCATGATTACACAACATAGCAGACAGGTAGTTTGAAAATCTCTTTTTTTCTGCCAGCCGACCCAGGTGGTTACTATCTTCGATTGGCGTTACACACTTTTGTTGGGGGCGGCACTCAATCCACTTGCCTCCCCCGAGCAGGCACGTGTGGCACATGTGGGACTGGAGAACTTCAACGTGAAAGCCTTCACTGAGTTTCTTGGTGTCCAGATGTGTCGAGTAATTGCTAAGTTTCTTGAACAAAAAGTAGGTGGTCTTCGGAAACCTCAGATCATCTCAAATTTGTTTTCCCTCTGTCAAAAACCCATTAAAGGGCTTAGATGAGGCAGCTTCTTCGCACGTCAAGAACGTCCCCGGGGCCTCGCGTTAAAGAGAGAATCAAGACGTCGGATGAGTCGGAGGTGCACAGGTGCTATGTGTCGTTTTCGGATGTTTTCGGCGGTGTAGCACTTCCATCCTTGCTCCTTTAGGTCGCTGGCTTGCGAGGGCCCAGGGACCAAGGGCTCGTATTTTTGCTGGGTAGCGCAATCACAACGGAACCATTCCCGAAGTTCTGCGCTCAGCTTCGGGCTCAAGCCTCGACCAATGAGGTAGTTGCACATGAAGTGTATCATCATGGACAGCACAACTATGATTTTGTTTCCTAAGTAATTAACCTCACCCCGCCCAAAAGAACAAGATCAAAAACACTTTAGGTCAACATTCACAGTTCCAGGGTTTCACTATAGGGATGTTCCCCACAGGTATGACCCACACTGATCACACTGGGCCGAGTGAGGTCTCAGGAACGCTCGGACCGCACCTCGCACCGTTTTTCATCGCCGAGCTCACCCCGCTGTGCTGTGGCCCTGTGGCCGCCATGGCGAGCTTCTACTTGGCCGCCTCGGCGGCGTTCATCTACTTTGCGATCGACTTGACACTTTGGGTACTCCAGATGGTTGCAGCTTGGGATGACAACATATTCCCGGCTTCCACTTGTGGATTTTTTCCGCCACAAGTGGAATTCATGACATGCATGAGATGGCTTAAATGGCTTGGTTCACATAATTGAAGGTGTGGTTCCCCGTCTTCTGATCCATGAAGTATTGGAACCCAATCGAACTTCCAAGGTCGGCGGCGCACGAAGACAGCGAACACCTCACACTGAAAGCAGTGTCAAAAGGACAAAAACAGTGGGCTGGTTAGTCTAGCAGTCCCAAATGCTCAGATAGCTTGCTTTTGAGTTCTCATTTGTTTCGAAACAAGTCCCATGGACACCCCTCCAAAGAGATGCAATGGTTCCTGAGAGGTGGTATCGACGTGGGTCACCTGGGCACCTCCTCGAAGTGGTCTTTCCAAGCAGAAGAGAAAACCTCTTTGGGTTGATCCCAAATGCACCAAAGGCAACACCTTCACAGGTCGCTTGATCAAACAAAGCAACGGCATCATTACATAAGTTTCGTGCTGCACCCCCACAGAGACGTGATAGCAGCACGGAAGACTTTAAGTCACCCTGAGTCATCCTCAGTCCTGGTCCATCCAACACATCTGAACATCTAAGTATTGTCACTTATCCAACAGAAACAAAAACTCATCCACCAGACGAGCTGTCCACATCCATCCGCCCTTCCCACCAGGTTGCTTACAACAGGGCCTCTATGATTACTACTGTGATTGAAATCCTGGATGACAACGCACCGCTGCTGCTGTCACGATGCCCCAGCTGGACCATTCCCATGGTCAACGAGCTGCGCGACACATCCTGGGCCGCCCGGATGTGGGCTGCACAGCCCCTCTGGGGTATGTGGAATTAAAGGCCTTCGCGGATGGTTTGGATGGGAAGTCAAACTCTGAACTCATGACCTGCCTTGGAACAGCTCCTGTGTGAGCTGGTGGGTTGCTTTCCAAATGCTGAGTTGGTCAGTGGTAGTGGTCAGTCCTCCCATGCGCTTGGGAGTGGCCGGGACTTGTTTCGAGATTGCCATTCTGCGGGAAAGGTGTCCTTTAGGGCATCCATTTTTTGCTTTTGTACAAGTATGCACTCAGCCTTTCAGTGCACTCCAGATTGGTCCGAACTTGAGCAGTGGCCTTTGATCAGGCCTCCGCGCAACACTCGCACTCTCCGACAAACCATCGAAGTGGCTTTGGAGGTACAGTAAAGGAGCAAGTTTTCGGCCATGTTCTGATCACAAGTATAAGGATTGAACTACCGTTTGTGTTTGAAACAACAAACTTCTCACTGGTTGCTGGCATGTTGAAGAATGATCGGATCATAGGGTGCCCATGGAAGAACCGCGTGAGCTGGGTGCCGAATCACTTGCCGGAATCTCCTTCCTCTTAGCTGGCCGTCCAGCTCCGACCGAGCTGGCGGGGCACTCCACCGAGGTCGGCTACTGCACCTTGGGGATCTACTCCGCGGGGGCAGCTCTGATCACCTTGGCGGGCTTCAGCTATCAGATGCTCGGAACGAAAAGGAAGGACCTCACTGTGGACGTGATGGGAGCGGACACGGATGTGGGACGTTGCTATTTGGATCAATCACTTTCAAGTATGGAGATGCCATTAAGGAATCTCTTTTGGTGCAGCGACACAATCGGGTGACGTGGTACATATGACTGTAAACCTTATAGCGCGTGTTTTTTTTTTTTTTTACTTTTTCCCTCTGCTTGGCAGGGTGTTGCAATCCCGTATGTCTCAACGTGACGTGACCACGCAAATCCCGGTTTTTCAGGTGACTGGAGGGGCTGCGTGGCAGAGGAGACCAATTGGTGTCGTCAGGTGGTGTGGAGGTAAGCTGAGTGGCCGAGTTCCTGCTATACATGTATTTGGCCATAGGATAGTGTAGTTAAAAAGACCTAGCGGTAAACATCGTCATGCAGCTTAGTCTGTATGTTGTTTTTCACCCAGATTTGACTCTGGTGACACTTCGCATGTGTCCCTTCAAACAAGGAACTAACTCTGCGGGCTGGCCCTACATGGCTAGCTTTTTAGTCGACTAAGCAGCAATTGGAGACACCGACTCGATTCGCTTTCAAGGCTCTCCATTTGTGCTCCTGGTGGCTGCCCAAACACTCCCACCTTTGTGGTGCATATCCTGGCCGTGTCTTGACGAAGTCAGTGTGTCTGGTGTGTCTTTGTAGGCGATTGTAGATGCAGTTGGTGTAGTTGTAACGGCATCATCATGCAAGCATTGTAGAAGACCTCGGAGTGGCGCGGGAAGAGCAACAGTTGTGACAGTCTTCAGTCCTCCTCCAACATGATCCAAGCAACGCGGCGAATTGTCCACTGGAGGTCTTTTCTCTCTTCCTGTCTGGTAGTGCTCTTATCTTTACCAACATCGGCTTTGCACTGGAGTGGCAAAATGATGGCAATCCCTTCTATGGAGGAACCGAACCTCGAGTCTCAGCTGCAGCGAGATCTGCAGAAACTGGTTGTTTGGTGAGGAGCTGCAGAGGCAAAGAGACCGCAACAATGGTAGAAGTTGAGGAGTGTGTTTCAATATACACGCGACATTCAAACAGAGACTGAAGAAATGTTTTTTCAATATTCTTTTGGGGAGCCCAGCGTCTCTTTGAGAACTTTCAATGATCTGCAATACCTCTGTCCGTGTTGTAGCCTTGAGACGATGTGCAATCGTAAGGATTTGTCGCCTTCTGAGCGCTGTAGGTAGCTTCTGAGGAAGCGAGTGCCAGAACCCACAGCCTCCCAGGTTCATTTGATGGATATTATGAGAGCTCATGCTTCGGCTATGGTGGTTGTTCGGGCAGCTACGTCAACGTGGAGGCCGACAAAGACACCTGGTGTCCAACCGGAATGTCGCCCCTCGCTGATTCAGCTATCACTCTGCAGACTTGCAGTGGCGTTGCTTTTGCCATCACTTGGCCGATCCTATTGGTGGGCCTGATACCTGTCAGGATTGGAGGGGCGAGGGGTCCTCACCGTGACCGGACCGGACTGGAACGAGCGCGCGGCTCCGTGCGGTGGGCTGGGTCATGGGGCGTATTGGAACAGCCCGACCCACCGACGTCCACTGAGGCCTGTGTCCTGTTGCTGCGTCAAGGATATGACGCTTCGATATCTCGCTGTGACGCCTGCGACTTGGCGAGGATCCAAAACAGCTGGACCAATGGGACGCTGGGACACGAGCATTCGCCACCGATTGATCAATGAGGAAACCATAGTAAAACCCATTGACGTGTTGGAAGAAACATGAAACAATCAAGTACCCTACTCCCTCCCATTCAAGGCCAGATCCCTCATCATTGGCACTTGATGAGCCTTGAAGTTCAAGGGCTAAGCACCAGCCCCAATCCGATTCTTGGCATCCTTTTGCCGTACGCTTGCCTGATCATTTTCTTCTCTAAATACCCATAGAGGATGAGAGCATATGGGAACTGAACTGAAGTGGCATGTGGAGCAGAATTGCATGGATTACGTGCTCGAAGCATTTGTAAGCCCTACGGTCGCTTCACCAAAGTAGCTCGATTCCAGGCCCTTCTGGTCTCAATCCTTGGCCTGGTGATTGGTGGCTTGGAACATCAAAACTTTGAGGCTGAGGACTAAACTATGGGTCACCCATGACGAGTAGAAACTAGTAGAACGCCTGGAATGTCACCAAATGGGTCCTAGTCTGCGCAAGAACTCAGTGGATTCGAGACATGTTTTCTCACACCATCAGGTGGAAGGACGGCGAATGGATCAGTTGGGGGTCCGCATGTCCAGACTCGCCCAGACATGTGTGTTATGCGAGGTCGCAAGCCAGATGGGGGGCCTGGTTGAAGGAGCTTTATGCCACGGCCATGGAGGTAGCACAATTTTACACAATCATCAATACCATTCATAAAGGCAAGGAGAAAATCTCCTCTAGGCTGCTCTGCTGATGATGGGAATCCACATTGTGTCAGCTACTTTGGGAGATAAACACCATGTCAGTTTTGCTTCGTTCCACCCAAGGTGGCATTCAGTTCCCGATGCTCTTGCCATACATCTTTGCCCATGTGCCACAGCACGGATTGGTGACAGAATAATCACAGACAGAGGGTAGGACAAGCATCAACAAAAGGAGCAACAGTGAGTGGAGGGAAATGATGGGAGTGGAAGACCATACTCACCACCTTGCTATTGTTGCTTGCTGTTGTAAACCCCAAGGCATTGGCTAGCTTTCAGTAGCTGATGCAGATTATCTTAAATCCAATATGTAGCATTTGCAACATTTGGCAAGTGGCACATAGATCCACATGGTATTATCATGCATGAGTTTATTCCCGATCGATATTTTTTTGTGAACTGCCAGATGTCCGAGTTTGTTCTAGAGTGGTTGGAGGCTAGTTGAATAGAATTCCTTTTTTTTGGATGCAAGATAGATGTAACATAGTATGAATTTAGGCTTTGGCTCCGCGCTATTTCAAGAATATCTGGTTCTCGAGCTCAACATCTGTATCCCAGGCACTTTGGCAGTATGTACGGCTGCTGGTCAATCGAATTGCAGGAATTGATCAAGCAAAAGTTGACAAAGACTTCAAAGAACAGCGGAATTCGGATGATGCTTTGCTGCATTTCAGACTTATCATCACATTTGATCAAGGGCAGGTTGGAAGATGTTCCAGAAGTCGATTCAATACGTCGGTGTGTTCTCAGTGAAGTAGAACGCACCACCTGTTCTTTGGGGGGGCAACGATGAATCCGCTACGAAGAGGGTTGGTGCATTTGTCACTTCAGCTCATTGCAGTAATCTGTCATTGATGGCATCTGTAATGGTTCAACCAGATATCACTGAATGGTCGATTCGGGTCCGTAGATGCATGGGTCAAGGACACTTATGCAGGAACAACAGAGTGCTTGCATTGGTCATATATGAGTACTGGGCGCTGTAGATCTGTGACAATTGGAACCTTTATTTTGGTGAAATGTATGATAAGTTAAGCAATGTACAGTGATCTCAGAGTAGATGGCGCAAAAGTTGGTTCATATAACCACCCAGTCGAAAGTGGTTCAATAATTGGCGTTGCCTCTACTCTGAAACCACTAAAGGCGCGGAGTGGCACGGAGTAGCGATACGGAGCTGCCACATATTTCATCTCTCACCACTGCGCGGTAGGACGTGGTGCCTGGGGTGATTGGCGCTCCATCTGGGGATGGTGATATAGGTGCGGAGTGCTTCTTCTTTTGCAACCAAAGGCAGCTCTTTCAGGGACCGTCGCAAAGAGGAAAACAAGAGGAAAGGCTAGCAGAATGCTTCAGGTGATTGATGCATAAATCAGTAGTTTTCCAGTGTAACCTTTGTGCACTTGCATGTGAATGTTTTAGCTACAATATTCGGCGGTTTGTTTCCCTGTTACAATGAGAGCCTGCTGTAAGGTACTGTAGTTATGAGCTTAATGAACACTGCTATAGCATCACATTTGCACCTCAAGTCCCATGTGCTGTTGTCATGTGAGCATGTTCCAGGATCGTACGACGATACTGGAGGCTACATGGGCTACTGAGGCCATCTGAGCTTGATAGCGGAGGCAGCGCCTCCCAAACCTCGTATCACTGAGGAAGGACACATGGACAATGTGCGGCGCTTGGTAGACTGCGCCCGTTGTAGTTTTTCTTCGCTCTGTCTGTGTGAGTTTCACAGTTGTGCCTCCTGGTTTTCGCCGAAGCAAACTGGGCGACAGGCTGTAGGACAGCCATGGTGGCATGACCAATCTGAGCTTCTCTTTGCTTAGAAGGCGTGGTGGATGATCATGAAGAGACACTAGCAACATCTAGCAACAGGGGCTACACCAACCTGTGCCTCAGGTCAAAGACAAATTCAAGACTTGGATATTGGCCGTCATCACAGCTGTAGTTCGTATAGAGTCCTAGATCAATGTTGGCAATTAACAGCCTTTCCTGACGTCAAGAGTGGCCAAATTCGTCTCATCTCCGGGGCATGGACGGCATCGTTTGGGGAACATGGGGAGGTACGCAGCATTCCACCAAAGCAGAGAGTCTAAAACCGTGCCTCCAAAACGACTGCAAGTCCCGGCTAAGCCGTTCTGCCAGGACAAGCCTATAGCGCGAAGACATGTAGGCTGACATACCCGGTCAGATGTTGGCAAATTTTGGCCTGGTTCAGTGGAAAAAGGCAAACGCCTCCGCCTGATCGACCATAGGTCGGTTCAGAGTCGTGGTATGTAGGCATGGACAAGCCACAAGGCTGAGGTCGTGATGAACTGTACCAACACTGTGCTCAGACTATTGAGAAGAACCCAATAACGAGGAAAAAACACTTAGTCCTACTGTGTTCCGCCTACCCAACCAGGAAATACATCAGAGTGAACTAGGTGAAAGAGAACATGGTTTTGGATAGTTTGGGGGGGCTCAGTCTCACCAGTACTGAACACTGATATCCTCGCTTCACGACTCCCAGCATTCACGGAATATAGGTTTGGGACACCTGCAGTCACCGTCAGATGGGTGCTGCCAGTCTGAACCAAAGAGGCCCTGGTTGGCAGGCCGGGGTGAGTCATTGGAGGTTTGTATTTTTGTTACTTTAACATACTTTAACAACATGAGCACCAATTGAACAGCAAAAACCATCTAGGACTGTCTCGGATGCATTCCCGGCACCGGCTTTCATGCTTCAGATTCGTCGCCTTTCACTGTCGCTGAGGCTGGAGCCGGAGAACTGGAGGTCTACGTCTCCAATTTTGTTTCCGTTTCGGAGAGGGATTGGAGGGGAGACTAGTGTTGGACATGTTCGGATGAAAAAAAAAACACAGAAATTGAAGAAAAGGAGATTGATGATGTTAATGGTCCAATATGGTCCAATGGTTTTCAGAACTGTTTTGGGGGATGTGCATTTATATGGATTGTGTGGAGTCTGATTCACCATGGAGAGTTTCCTTTTTTTCAGCCGAATTGCAATCTCATCCGTGTTCCTTTGCGAGGGTTTTTGTCCGCTTGGCGTATACAAAAACTGATTCATGCTGTTTTTTTCAGTGGTGTTGATAAAGAAACAAACAACGGTGGTCTGATGGGTAGTCACAAGCTCCGGGACGTTGAGTTACATTTAGAGTGAATCTTCATTGTCTTGAGAGGACATTCTTCCGGATATGTAAAGCAGTGGACACTTAATGTCATGAAACACCTCTGCGAAGAAGAGTCTTTCCACGAGTCCTTCCCTTTCCAGAATGGTGTGCTCGATCTTTGAGTTTGTTTCGACCCCGGGAGGCACACAGACAGCCGGGAGGACATCACCAGTGCCGAGTTGCAACTGGCCAAGCGCTGTCATGGCGCACACATCGAGACCCTCTCCCAGGACATCACCGAGGCCTCGGCCTCCACCGAGTGAGGGAAGTGAGGATGGAGCGAAGATGTCCAGGTCGGGAGTTGCCGGGAGAACGCGTTCTTGCTCCGTTCGTAGCGATGCCAGGAGCTACTAGTAGCTTCTTGTTACTACTAGTAAGGCACTTGTTACTAGTAGCGTGGCACTTGTTACTAGTAGCGTGGCACTTGTTACTAGTAGCGTGGCACTAGTAGCGTTCTTGCTCCGTTCGTAGCGATTTCAGGAGTCCCGTTCGCAGCGTCCTCTTGCTCCTAGTAGTACGGCCAGGAGCCGTGACTATTTGTTGGACAACTCAAGGTTGCTCTTCTAGTGACTTCTAGTGAATTCAACTCAAGGCCCAGCTTGGGGGCTGGGGGCTGTCTGTGAGATTCTGTAGGTTCGTGAGTGTCCGATGTGTCCGTGCAGCTTTGTGTGGGCTCAGAAACAGACAACTGTTCTAGGCAAAATGAATTGGATGAGTGTGTCTCCCTTCTCAGCATGTCTCAGCCAAGCCCCGAACCAGGCTGCTTCCCACTACTTGCTCATCCACTATGATGTGCCGTACTTTGACGTTGACAGCTTTCGCTTGAGTGTCACCGGCCTCGTGGAGAAGGAGGGAGGAGGCTTCTCGAGGGATCCTGGTTGTTTTGGGCTCCTGCGACATTTTGGAAGGGGAGACCCTAGCAACATTTCTCTCAGGACTCTAGGTGTCTCGATTCAGGTGTGTTGGTAGTCTAGTGTCCCCCAACCGATGCAAACGACCACCACATCGACCCATCCGGTGGGTCAATCCCTTGTTGCCTTGGGATCTCGGCTCCCCCAGGAGCTCTCGGTGTCCTTGTCGGAGATCAAGGGACGCCCTGCGAGCACGCAGGCTGTGATCAAGAAGGAAGAAGTGGGTGGTGTGGGAAGGACATGCGAAAAAGCTCTGAATGTCAGCCCAAGTCACAGTCGTCGTGCCTAGGGGGCTTCTAGTAGTACGGCCAGGAGCCCCTAGTAGCGTCCTTGCTCCTAGTAGCGATGCCCTTTGCTCCTAGTAGCGTCCTCTACCCATCCCCACAGGCCGTTCTCATGGCTTGTGCTGGCACTGGTCGCATGTCGACAAAGCACAGGCCACCTGCAACTGGGCGAGGGGTGTTGGGGTGAGCCAGGGCCAATCAGGGATATGAGACCTGGTCCCGGCAGGACGCCTGAGGACGCCCAAACTCCTTTGATTGGTCAACAGATGTCAACGGCCCAAAATGACACCAGTCTGTGAATGTTTGAGTGAAGCCCGCAAGGAAGAAGGCGGATTTCGTGTGTGTTGAGGGTCACTTAAACATCCACCCAAACATCACCGGAGGCATTTTCTAGCAGGAAACATCTAAACAAATTGCGAATGGTCCCTTCCACCAGTCTAGCTCAACGAAGTCTTTGACTGTCTGCTGGCCGACTGTTTGCCGTTTGATTCGCTGCTGCACTTTCTGTTTTTAAAACATATCTTTTGCTTACTGTAACTATTTTGCCGTCCTGATTCTCTCTCCCCACTCCTTGTTCTCATCCAGACGTTTTAGCCGCAGCCTTGTTCTGTCTTTTAGCTGATTTCCGGCTGTGGGAGATGGACGGAGTGATGGACGGTTATGCCAACAAACCTGTCGAGCGCAGGTTTTGGACCCACGTGCCTTGGGGTGTAGACTCCTTCGGATGCGCCAAATGGACGGGCTGCAGCTTAGCCGAGCTTCTGCGGGAGGCACCGTGAAGATGGATGGTGAGATGAGTGAGACGATGCTGGGAAATTCACATCGTACCCTACGCGGGTTGGGACAAGTTACTGATGTCATTAGAATCTTGATTGATAAACACCTCCATTTCGATGGTGAAACCTCTCTCTTCATATGAGGGTTTATTAAACCAGAGTCTACTACTCGAATCCTGCAACCAACATGTACAGTTCCTTGACTCACAAAAAAGGAGTCTATTTGCAAACACCCGGGCGTCACCTTTGTCTTGGGCAAGAAAAATCGAAGATAGAAGGAACATCCGCAGCTTTCTCTCCACCAACTGGGTGTTGGTCCTTCTGAACTGAAGGGAATCTCAGACTTGCAGTGAGCAACAACCCTGCAAAAGAATGCAAAAGAGATATCGAGAATCAGGCATGTCAAGCCAAGCCAGAAAGTTCTGACCCAAACCCTGAAGATCCCGGAAGATCCCTGAAGACTCGAAGACCAAACACTCTTTTTGGACCTCTCGGAGTGACAACATCCTCATCCTCAACTCCTTCACAAGCAGTTTCCTTGTTTATGCCACGCTAGTAGTAACAGGTGCCTTACTAGTAGTAACAAGAAGCTATTAGAAACAAGTGCCACGCTAGTAGTAACAAGAAGCTATTAGAAACAAGTGCCACGCTAGTAGTAACAGAAGCTATTAGAAACTACATCGACCACGTCTTTCCCACACCATTGCATGGACCCTCGTTTGACCGCAGAATCACTTGTCGCCTCCCGCTTCTCGCAGCTTCATCCGGGTTCCGACATATCCCCCCAAACGGCGACACCAAAGACATGGGACTCTAATAGGAACCCTGTTTGTAGGGGGGCATCCACTAATAATTCCGTTTCAGACCCTCCAAAACCACTCGACTTGCGTGTGCTTGTGACCTCCCCGACTTCCGACCATCCAATCCACTTGACCGCAGGCGGGTCTCAAGGATGGTGCCAAGCAGGTGATCTTCACTGGTGCGGACAAAGGCTGGGTACCCTTCAGCGCCGGATCCGGAAAGCTCACCATGAGATCAGAAGTGAACAAACGGCACTGTCCTGAAGATCGATTTCCGAAAGTCATGGAACATGGATATATACGAGTATATAATCACAAATATGTGGTGGTTTGTTTAATTAGTCATTCTGTGCCTCATGTGCTGTCACGTCGAATTGAAGCCCTAGAGTCCCTAGAGGCCCTAGACAACGTCGTTCTACTAGAAACGTTCTACTGGCAGATCTCCTTTCTCCAGGTGCTTCTTCCACTAGCCCGGTAGATGGTTCCGAACAAACACTTTGCTCCAACCTGGTGAAGAACATTTGGGGAAGAGGCCCAGCACATCCTGGACTTTCTGATTCTGGTACATTCTTCAAGGGCATTCCCCCAACAGTGCACCGTGCACCCTAATTTTTCCCCCCCTCTGCCCCTGCCGGTCATGGCGCCCTCCTGCCCCTAGTAGCGTCCTTGTTCCTAGTAGCGATGTCAGGAGCCCCTAGTAGCTTCTTGTTACTAGTGGTAAGGCCAGGAGCCCCTAGCAGCGTCCTTGTTCCGCAAAAGACCCGCACCTTGCCGAGGCGTCGAGGCAGGGAAGGTGCAGTACTACCAGCGCTCGCTGAGCGTGGAAGATGCCCTGCGAGGACACGCCACTGGGCCAGCACCAAAACGACGCTCCCACAGAAACGGATGGTTTCACGAGGAGTTGGCGCAGCGGAGGCATGATTCTGCAGCGTGTTAGGTTGGGGATGCATGAGAGAACCATGAGGATGCAGCACGAGGGTGGTTTTAACCACTAACCTTTTGACTCTGGGTTTTGGCAGAGCTTGGAGTGTGCAAGCTGACCACATGAGTGCAAAAAGGTCAATTATCAACCCCCCTCAGTTGCAAAGCATGTGTCAAAGCTTGTTTTTGTGTTGGATTGGTTGGCTGTTTGCTCAAATTTATCCTCAAAGAGCACTACCCGTTCAGAACCTGCAGAAGTCTCTGCGGTCATAAATCCATGAAGCGTTAATAGGTACCAAGTGTGCGATGCCCTGCTGCTCCTGCAAATTCTTTGAGAAACCAGTCCATCGAGTCCCCATCCTCTCTCCAAATCCAACTATTCAACTGGTCGGTTCGCCCTTCGTTCGCTCTTCGTTCGCCCTTCGTTCGCTCGTCCCGAGGTCATGTTGGTCTATGAGATGAATGGGGAGCCCTTGAAGCCAGCGCACGGCTTCCCCTTGCGCCTCATCGTCCCCGGCTGGTATGGCATGGCCTCGGCACCTTGGCCGGACCGAGAGGTGAGGCCGGACTCAAAGCGTCGGATGCACGGGTTGCCTGTTGGAATCCCGAGTGGAGCCGTGCAGCAGCAGTGCTGCAGCAGTGCCAGTGCGTTTTGGGCCATGAAGTGTGGCCCATTGTCAGTATTTTCGGGGCTCCAATCTCCGGCCCCGACACATTCCCGAGACAGGAGAAGCACGTGTCACTTCAGGTGAAATGGCTCACCAAAATTGAAGTGGTGGAAGGTCCTTGGTGGGGACATCAGATGGAGGCCGGGGCGTGCGCTTCGTGGCGTGACTGTACTTCAGCTGGGAAGGTTGGGGGACCTTTTGGGTTCAAGCCTTCAGTCAGCGAAGCTCATCAAGTTTCACCTAGCTATAGCATGAACTGTTGCTTAATGAGTTGGTAGCAAGGTGGTGTGTTTTCTGCTTCTGTCAAACCAGAGACATACAAAGGCCCATGAATTCATGGATCCGGATGTTCAATGATTTTCATAGGGCCATAGGAGAGGTGTGCTGGAATAGATACGTATACCACTTCTACTTGACTCCTTGAATTCTCAGGAATCGTCCACCAAGCAGTTTTTGTATGCTTTTGTGACGTATGCTACAATGTTTTTTTCAGTGTCCTTTTCGACATGTGTCACAGTATTCGTGAAATCACCGGTCATATCAATACAGACTGTGTGCATGCAATTGACAATACGACATGGGTTTGCTGGTGTGCTGCGCTGAAGTTGTTAGTGGCATTGGATGGTGCATAGCCAGCCTGGCATCATTTCAGTCATTATTGCGATCGAGTACACCCTGCTCCAAGCAGCCAAGAACCTCAGAGATTTGGGCAAGAACCTCAAAAGATGACTGGACGAACCCACCCAGTGAGTCCACATTTGTTGTTTTGGGTTTTCACCTAGGCTTCACCAAAAGATCTAAGGAATTCCTCATTCTTCCGTTAGACTGGACCAAGGTAGCCCTCTCACACCGCACGGGGGAGGCCTACAGCTCCCCCATCTCACGCCGCTGGAGGCCTACAGCTTCCGCCGCGCGGCCAATGACCCCGAGCGCGTGCCGCTCACGCAGCTGCCGGTGCGTGCGCTGATGGCGCCGCCAGGCACTTGGGGCTGGAGGAGTCTATGAGCCATTGTGAGTGATTCACAGTGGTTTCAGGGAAGATGGCACAACCCCAAAAGGTGGTTTATATTGATCCCCATCTAATTAAAGGACATCTTGGGGTTTGTGCCATCTACTCTGGAAACCACTGTATCGAAACCGTAATCCATGATCCTTGAGCGGTCTATATGACATGATGACAACATTTATATATATATATATATTGTATATGCCCATCCACGTCTTGAGAAAACACAACTGAGTTTAAGGTTTCTTTGTGTGGTGGCCCACATGAAGTATACAGTAACAGTATCTGATATGTACATGGCCTCATATGTGGCCAACTTTAAGCTTTTTAGAGAAAATTATCATTGTGCCCACCATTTTGTTCGCTGGGGCTAGGAAGAGCTCTACCAACAAGAATGGTGTTTGGCAGATAATTTTGAGTCTGGTGGGGTCCCAATGAAGTGAATGGGGCTAACATCTTCCAACCAGACCCATGACAAACAACACTTTGTAGGTACTGTAGTCACTTGAACACATGGTCAGGAGGTTTGTTTCGCACGATTTGTCAGTACAAGACGACATGACCTTCAAACAAAACACCCTGCACTTTTGCTGCCTCTTCCAAACCCAAAGACCTGAGAATCTGGAGCGACAGATCCCAAGTCTTTGGTCAGGTGTGCCAGACTTCTTCTCCCGGACTCGGGTCGTAGAGCCCGGGACGCAGCGCATCACCGGGAAGGCGGGTGTTCTTCGGAAAACCAGAGGCCCCCAGACCGCCCAGCGTGCTGGGGAAACCAGGCCGCCCAGGAGGCCCCAGGAGCCCCAGGAGGGTTGAAGAGGCACCCAGGACTCCATGAACCGAAATGAACAGACAGAAATGAATAAACATCACGAACACATGTTAGTCAGCTCAAGGTGTTTGGAAGATACTATATAAGTACAGTAGATAAAGGTTCGGATAGTTAGTTGCTACTTTCGCAGGTTTGGGCTGGCGCTGTCGACATTGAACGTGTGGAAGTGTCCTGCGATCACGGCAAGACGTGGGCCCAAGCAACGCTGGAGGAGATCCGGGGAAGTCAATGAGGAACACTGGTGAAACCTCGCTGAACATCACTGGAAGAAGTCATTGCTGCCTCCTGAAAGGTAATGTTCCTACTGAAAGCGCAAGAGCTCAAATGAGCTCAACACGCTGGACACCCCTAAAATCCCCTCAACAACCAAACAGCGGAAGGTTGCTCCGTGGGTGCATTGTGGTTCACCACATGATTCTTCAGGCTTTGGGTGGAAAGAACGTCTATCCACAGGATCTGGCAGCCTCAGATGTGCTCTCAACAACCAGACCCAGCCACGATGTTTTTCCATACCTCCCATGTAACTGCTTTCCAGGCGAGACGGGACTAATCCAGACTGCCAGACCCCCAGTGGTACAGCCTGTCCATCTTGCTTGACAAGCCAGTGGTTTGGGGAGTGGGGCATGCAAAAGCTGTGGTGTCAGTGGATGCCTGATTGATTTTAGACAGGAGAAGAATGGTGTCTTTGGATGGGCCAACTGGTACTATGATTGGCAAACGCCTGGGGAAGGTGCAGCTGACGATGCAAAAAAACGGGTGTTGCTGAAGTCCAGGACAGGAGATGTTGGAAGAATTTGTGACACTGGAGGAAAAGAGACATATTCTTCACAACATGTCTTCGCCTGTGCAGAGCTCAAAAGTTTGAACATACAACACTGTGGCTGTACACTGAGTAGTTCTACCTGCCATCAAAGTTGAAGTGGGACACTTTCTTCTTTGCTTTCCTTGGTTGAGAATGCTACAAGCAGCTCCTTTAGGCTATAGGCCATGCTGACATTGCTTTTGTGCGTGCATCAAGTTGGGGCATAACGCACCATCTTTCAGTGTTGCTATTGTTGCCCAATTTGATTGCTGTGAAGGCATCAATGAGGTTCAATCTTAGAAGCTCAAATACCAGTCAGCTGGTGTTGACATTCATGCCAAGACAGCGGACTGGAGACATCATCCACCCATCGTGCACCATCCCTTCCCCATATGACATAGATCACCAACCAGATTCCAGAGTTCCCAGATTCCTCCTCCAGATATCCTCCAATCCATGGATGGACGTGATGGCCTCATTGGCTTGGACATGTTCCTGAAGAATTTGAGGTCTTTTGGACCCGGTAGCTTCCTCTGGATCTCTGATGCTCAGGGAACTTCGTGCTGATGTGCCGCGGCTTCGACAAGAAGGGCCGAAGCCAAGACTCCACCAGCGATGAGGCATTCAATTGGACAGGCCGCTCGCTGAAGCGCTGAAGCCAGGGAACATGATGGAACCTGGATGAGCATGGTATCCTTTGTTGACTCTGTTGGGTGTGATCATGTCATGTTTGATTGGGACATGAAGAGAAGTGACCACGGTCTCAGATGAGACCACTCGTTGTTTTGGAGCAAGCTGAGGCATGGGTGACACCCAGCCACAGATGGTCTACGTGAGGCCACAGATGGTCAACCTGGGCATGAATCTGATGGGCTCGCAGTTCACAGACTTTGCCTCAATCCCCACGTACCAGTATTGCTTTGGGAGTTGTTGAACAAGTTTGATGTTGAAGAAGCACTAGCACCCTTCCTAGTATGTACTACTCAAATCTGCACTTCTTCAAGTTGCACAACAAAAGGATTTTGAAGCATCAGCTCTCAAAAGGCACCGGAAGCTGGCCGAAGTGAGATTTAGGATAATTAGGGGGTGTGGACAGGCTCACAAGTGGTCCACGCGCTGGTGTTAATACGTTGTTGGAGAGGCTTTAGAGGTTTTGGTGATGCTGAAAATGCAAGGTCAGTACCCACCGTTAAAAACAATATCATTGAAGTAATCACTGTGGTGAACTTGGCCACTATAGTTGTTCGAACATGATATATAACTTATGCGGAAAAGACACAACATATTTGGACACGTTTTGAAACAGTCCTTCAAGTACAGGACTGAAGAATGAAGATTTGAGATTCCTCAAAACAGTTTTTCCAGCAATCTTCAATCCATTTGGAGGATTGAAGGCTGGGATCTTCAATCCCTGGGCTGCAATTGGCAATAATAATAGCTACTTGGGTCAAGTCTCAAACTCTCAGATGGTTGGGTGGCTCTTTCAGCCTTTTGTAGGGAAAGTAATGTGGACTGTTGCTACTAGCCTTTGGAGGTATTTAGGTGCCATTAACCTTAACTAGTTTAAACCTCCCGATTGCTTTGGAGAGAATCACAGCAAAAGCTGCTTGGTATACCTGTTGTTTGTGAAAATCAGCCTCAGAGATTCAAGTGAAACATTGATGGCGCTAATGTAGTTGTCGGTGGTGCCGGAGCTGGGCTGTTGAATCACTGGATTTGCTTGATCTACTTGTAGGGATAATATTGAATTAGTTGTTGATAGCAACGGTATTGTGCCTAAAGATGGTCTTGCTAATACGTGGACAAGTGATGAAAAGTACATTTGCTAATCATACATGTGTTTCTCTTGGACAAGCTATGGTTGGTGCTTATGTCTTCATAGGATTGGTGACACTTCATATGGTAAAGTCTATGGCTGCAAATCCAATATTCTTCGCTAAAGCTAGCCTAATACCTGATATCTTTCCCCAGGTTATATGCAGAGTGTGACAAGATGTAGCAGTTGTGGCTGGGAGATAAGGTTATCTGAGATCTGAAACAACTGAAACATATGAACATATATAAACATATATATATATATATAATAGCTGTTTCCGAACAAAAATTGGAGGGTTGCTGGATGCCCGGGATGTGCCTGAGTTTGCAAAAGCCAGCACATAACACCAAGAGATACACTTTTGTTGAAAGGATATTGTGTCACTCCTAAGATTCAATATCAATGTAAAGTACCCTGGTTACGCGATGTTGTTTAAATCTTTTGTGATTTATTTTCTTGCATTGCTATCATATGGATGTGTCAGTCAACTTATGCAAATAAGAGATTTGTGTACGGAGCCTGCTGCAGTGTTGCCCTTTGTTATACTATACCTCTAACAGATGCTGGTTTATGTCCTGATTAACGGTTACTTTAGTAGTCAGATACTGTTTGAGAGGAGGGTGTGGTGCCATCTATATATCTATCTAAATATAATATGTCTTTGCGGGAAGGGCCGCATTCGAACCTTTTCCGACACAAGACACGCTCTTCGGTCTACATTTCTTCCGAACAACATGGTTAACATTATGAGAAGAAAAGGTACTCATGACATGGATCCACTGCAAAGGTCTCAAGAAGCTGCAGCAGTTTCGTTCACCCCCTTCTCAGGTAAACATGTTGATATCTCACTTCATGCCCTGTGACCGACTCCGCCCCCCCCAAAAGAAGGCCAAGAGCTACTAGTAGGTAATACGTCGTAGCGTCCGATCCTTCCGTCTCGGCGGTTTTCCTTGAGACCGTCTCGGCGCCAGGGTGGATTCGAAGATCCAAGACGTGGGAAACCAGATCAATCTCATCCCGGAGACCCGTGCCGCCAAGAAGAGCCTGAATGTGGCGACGACTGATTCTTGGAGCGCGAACGGGACCGGGCGACTTTGCAAGTCTTTTTGGGTAGGCTCGCGGGCTGGCTGGGATCATGGGGAAGTAAAGAAACTATAGTATCTAGGTGTGAGTATGAGTGGAGTTTTGCGTGCTGAGGATACAAGCATTTGAGGTGGGTTTCTGCAGATTCAGATTGGAAGACCACCCTGGGATCAATCCCATTTCAGACCACCCAGCCAGTTTCTTGGCTTTGGATCTTTAGGCCGAAGAATCCGCTTCTCTGGTGGGAGGCCGAACGGGAAAGTGACCCGAGTTGGCCTAGCAGATGAACCACAGAACGGGACGTCCCGTTGGATTCGGTGGTCTGGACCTTTCGATTCGAGAGGGGTGTTCGTTCCGCGAGTTTCTCCAAAAGAAAAGAGGTGTCTGCGTATGAGTTTTTGGAGACTCCTTCTGGACTCCTTCCAGAAGTGCCTGAGAAGGAGTCCAAAAGAAGCACCACGTGTATTAGTGTACTGCAGAAATCTGCAGGACTGCTTCTGGAAGAGTTTTTGGAGACTTGAGATGTGTTGATGAACCCAGCTATTTAAGCCTCTGAACTTCAAGGATAGTAGGTGTGGTTTTGGACTTGTACCTGGCGTCCACGAAAAGACAACAGTGGAATCAGCATCCCCCATATGAGTGTGAGTTTCAATGTCAAGATGTGCCCAGCTTTTCTGGGTGCATGTCCAACTTAGGATGGAAAGCCTTTGGCGACAGGTGCTTGTGATGCCCTGTACAGACAACCAGGAAGCCAGTGACGGGAAGTGGATGAAGCATTGCTTCGATGTGGCATGAACGGGATGGAGAGGAGTTCGTTGAGTCCGTGCCGAAGTGTTCCGTGATTTGCCGATTGACTACTAAACTGACTGCATACAATGGCCAGTTCGGACTCAAATATCCCGGGGGGCGTTACGAGGCAGTTCTTTTGGGCAAAGACGTGCCTTGAAGCAGAAGCCTTCGGTGTGGCACAGAGGGGGCTATGGTGAGAGCATTTTAAGAGTTTCAATAGTTCTTGTTCAAAAGATCTTGAGGTCTCAAGTCAACCTGAAATTCAGGAGTTGTTGCAGCCAGGAGGCAATGATTTTCCCAAACACTGGTACACCATAATGTGTTTGGGAGCTAAGGCATTTGTGTACCCCTCATTCGCTGGTTGGTTGAGATTTGTGCAACATGTGACCGAGTCCAAGAAGCATTGATTCACACCTTTGGAGGAATCACCGTTTTTCGCTCTCTCGGTTCTCAGTTATCAGGTCACAAGAGAACATCTTGGCTTCTCCACCTTGATTCCGATCCCACCTTGCCAGGATGGTAAATGTTTCTTTAAACTTCAAATGACGAGCTGAGTTTTTTGAGATGAATGGATTTATACACATATTGACCATCACAAAAGCTGATCAAAAGTCTGGCGTAGACATTCTTCTTGTGGGCGTGTCTACCCCCTGTAGGCATTTTGGCACGGTCGCTTGTCTTACGCAGTTGCCGTAGGCAACTTTTTCCAGATGTTTGCTTGCCCCCTGATGAATCCTGAGGCATTGAGGGTAGGGACGAGGAATTCCTTTCAGAAACTAGCCTAGGACATGGAGATCTGTTTCGTGATTTCCACACTTGCTGTAGTAACGAAGCCGAACGGGGGGGCTTTTCCGGCTTGATGTGGCCCACTGGGTCTCTTACCCTTTCGAGCGAGTTCTAGAATCCGTGGAACCCCACATACACGACGTCCCCTTTGTCGTATCTTTTGGCCATAGCTGCAAATCTGCGGCACAGGCGCTGGCGGCATATGTTTGCAGCCATCATTGATCTTAGATTTACATGCTGTGCGTGGCACAAAAGTCCCTCCAAAGAAACGTGTCAAAGGTACTCTGCGCATTGCCAGCATGTTCCGCTTGAGACAGCAGAAGATGACCCCAAGACAGCACGTGTCTTCAAGGATGGTCATCATTGATCAGCCGATTGGTCACACCACGTCATACCGCGATCGCGAATCGTGCAAAGTCCTTCACCTGGTTTCTCCGCTCGAAAGCGTGGAGCAACACCAGAATGATGTCAGTGAAGGAGACCGTTGTGGGTTCAAGACCGTTTTTTTTAGAATTGCGTAGGCAATGTTTCTTTGGTGAAGTGTATGTTTGGCCTGGTCATTGTTCACTTTCTGGAATCCCCTCTTCATCTTGATCCTGCAAGTATAGTTTCACATAAACCACACACCCTTGGGCCAAACAAACATCTAGCAACTCTCAAAGTACCAAAATCTCCATCCTAGTGGGCCTCTGATACGAAAGCATCCTTTCCAACCTTCTAACAACACTGTATATCTTTTGAGTAAGAGTGAGATTGCGGCACCGGATCACCGGATGTGACCGGACACCGAGCTTCTTCATTGGGCCGCATCGGACCGCTCCGCAGCCGCTGCTCCGTCCGGTGCCGTGCCGCTCCGTGGGCATGGCAAACAAAAAGAGGCCGGTCGGACAGAACGTGCCGCGAGCTTTTGAGGCGAAATGCCAGGAACCTGTTTCGGGTGCTGTGGCAAGTCCTGTTTCGCTTCTTCTTGCCTGGAAGAGAACTTCAATGACACGGAAACTGAGTGACTCAAAGTAAGCATCGAACGTGGGTTGGTGGGTACCCATTCAATGCAAAGGAAAATGACAGGCCAAGTCCAAGGTGTCGAAGGAGTTCTGGCCATTCCTCACCAGACATGCTCCTAGAACTTCAGGGATATGGGCCATGTAGCCCATTTCTTTGGTGCACCGACAGTGCTCTGACACTTGAGCTGGTTGCCCACGTGGCGTTTTCTGGCAGGAAGCTTACCGCTTCCTTCTTGGAGATTCCCGAAGAGAAGGAGCACCACTTGAGATGGCTATTTAGATCATTTGCGTCATTTCCCAATCTGAACTATAGAATTCACAAAGTGTCTTCTCGCTCACAGAACATCCAGAAATCAGAGAAACAAGCAAGGCATCGACCAGGGGGGGTCCCTTTCTATCCTTGTGTCCCCAATTTCGGCCGTTTGAGCCGGTTGGAATGAAGGCGGAATCCTGCGGCCAACTGCTGAAGTCGATATCTAATCGGCTCAATATATATAGATATGCACATAGATATTATCTATTGAAGCTCAAAGGGCCTAGGGACTGAGGTATGCCAGGTGTTGCCTGTTCATCAACAGACAGCAAGGTCTTTCTGCACAGAGCCCAAAGCAACCATATGCAAGGAGATGAATCAACAAGTGTTCCAAAGAAAACAGTCCATGGTGCTTTGTTGCCCAGATGATTCACGGTGATCAGCCAGCCAGTGGGCGATGCAAAGCTTCATTCGGCTGGGCTGTTTTGTTTTAAGAACAAATGGTCAAAAATGGTCCAAAACCCACCGTCTGAGAGCTGGTGAACGCGTACCAAGTTCAAGGAAGTTTTGGTTCTGTGGGGACACAGTTTGCAAAGAAGAACATATGAAAACAAGTTCCTTCCTAAGGCAAGGCAAGGCCAGGTCCTGAAAACGAACGAGACTTAAGAAAACCGCTTAGGCTATCTCTGATGGTTTTTTCCAAATAAAAAGAAAAACGCGAAAAAAACAACTACAAAAAGCAAAAGCAAAAAAACGAATCCAAAAAGCAAAAAAACACAAATGAAAAAGCAACAGCAAAAGCAAAAAAACAAGCAAATCCAAAAAGCAAAAAAAAACAAATTAAAGAAACAAAAAGCGAAACAAACAAGTGAAAAAGAAAGCCAATGAAAAAAAACAGAGCAAGCGGAAAAAATGTGGGCAAGCAAAAAAGCAAACAAAAGGTGAAGAACAAACATAAATAAAAACCATAAAAACAGCGAACAAGAAGCAAAGAAAAAGCGGAAAATTGCGTTTGCTTTTTGGATGTGTTTTTTTGATTTTGCTTTTTGATTTTATTTGTTTTTTGGATTTGTTTTTTTGCTTTTGCTTTTTCCCCAAACAGGTTTACCTGTGAGGGGTTCTTACTCCTTTTAAAGGGGTGCAAGCTCGGGCCGGATGATTTTGAGTTTGTCTCCGGGCTTGTGTTCCTGGCCGCATGATTTCACCCTTGTCTCCCAGTAAGCTCTGGATGCTCTGAGTGCTCTGGCCGCATGATTTCACACTTGTCTCCCA